TGGGTCTCCACCCAAATCTGAGCAGAAGAGGAGCTGTTTTAAGGTCAAATCACCCCAAAAAACAGTCAAATTTAAGCTAACATGTTTAGCTAACCGTCCTTATTACCTAGAATGCAAATACAACTGCTCGTTTTTAAATATTAAAAGGAAATTAGCACAAAAAAAAAACAAACAACAACTATAAACGATTATTTTATGGTAAAAAAGTAGCAATGATCCTAACCTGGTATTTACAAACAATCAGGACAGATCAGAACAGGATAAAACATGCTAACCACATGGAGGTCAAATCAAACGAAAAACAGTCTGATTTTTCATTGTTACTCACAAACATGTTTAGCTAACCGTCCTTATTACCTGGAATGCAAATACAAATGCTCATTTTTACATCTTGAAAGGAAATTTATTCATTTAACCAGTCTGTGTTAGCCTAAACCTTTTCCATCCCTCTGTCCCTTCATTCTGTGGGTCTCCACCCAAATTTGTGATCAGAAGAGGAGCTGTTTTAAGGTCAAATCACCCAAAAAACTGTCAGATTTTAGCTAACATGTTTAGCTAACCGTCCTCATTACCTAGAATGCAAATACAAATTAGCACCAAAATATAAAACAAACAAAACATCTGTAAACGATTATTTTACGGTAAAAAAAGTAGCAATGATCCCAACCTGGTATTTACAAACAATCAGGACAGATCAGAACAGGCTAAAACATGCTAACCACATGCTAACCACATGGAGGTCAAATCAAACGAAAAACAGTCCGATTTTTTTATGGTTACTCACAAACATGTTTAGCTAACCGTCCTTATTACCTAGAATGCAAATACAACTGCTCGTTTTGAAATCTTAAAAGGAAATTAGCACCAAAAAATAAAACAAAACAACTGTAAACAATTATTTTACGGTAACAAAATAGCAATGATCCTAACCTGGTATTTACAAACAATCAGGACAAATCAGAACAGGCTAAACATGCTAACCACATGCTAACCACATGGAGGTCAAATCAAACGAAAAACGGTCTAATTCTTTATTATTACTTACAAACATGGTTAGCTAACCGTCCTTATTACCCAGAATGCAATACAACTGCTCGTTTTTAAATCTTAAAAGGAAATTAGCACCAAAAAATAAAAGAAAACAACCGTAAACGATTATTTTACGGTAGAAAAGTAGCAATGATCCTAACCTGGTATTTACAAACAATCAGGAAAGATCAGAACAGGCTAAAACATGCTAACCACATGCTAACCACGTGCAAACCACATGCCAACCACATGCTAACTACATGTGAAATGCACACTAACAACACGGGAGCTACCAGGGGCAGAGTATGTGCTAACTGTAGACTACATTAACTATGAGCTAACAACATGCTAACCACACGCTAACCACATGCTAACTACATGTGAAATGCACACTAACAACACAGGAACTAGCAGGGGTACAGTATGTGCTAACTGTAGACTACATTAACCATGAGCTAACAACATGCTAACACACACTAACCGTAGGCTAATGTCATGCTAACTATTGGTTAACTATGACCGAACTACAAAGCTAAAAACGACCAAAAAATACACCCCAAAAAGCCAAAACAAGGTTCAAATCAAACAGACAACAAAGATGGCAAAAATACAGCAAAATAGAGCTAAAAAAGACCAAAACAAAGCCCAAAAATCAAAATCGAAGCTAAAAATGACCAAAGATATGCAAAAATAAGGCTTAAATTGACCAAAAATACAGCAAAAACAAGGATGTTTCAGGATGTTTTAGGATGTATTTGATGTTTTGGGATGTTCTGGGATGTTTAGGTTCTTTTGGGATGTCTTGGGGTTTTCTGGGATGTTTGGGATATTTTAGGATGTTTGGAATTTTTGGGGATGTTTATGGATGTTTGGGATGTTTTGGGATATTCTGGGATGTGTTGGAATGTTTGGGATCTTTGGGATGTGGAATTATTTGGGATGTTTTGGGATGTTTGGGATGTTTTAGGATATTTTTGGGATGTGGGATGTTTTGGGATGTTTGGGATATTTTGGGATGTTTAGGGTGTTTGGGATGTTTTGGGATGTTCTAGGATGTTCTGGGATGTGGGATGTTTTGGGATGTTTTGGAATATTTTGGAATATTTTGGAATATTTTGGAATATTTTGGAATATTTTAGGATGTTCTTGGACATCTGGGATGTTTTGGGATATTTTAGGATCCTTTAGGGATCCCAGCTGAGCTGTCGACCCCACAAACGTCATCATTAACCTCCATTCTCTCATTTATCACCAGTAAGAGTTCAAAATTGAGCTGCTTATTCTTATTAGAGTAAAAGTGGGCGTCAGCTTCTGTTTAACCCACAAAAACATCACATCCAGCCTCACAAACACAATCCCTCTCCCTCCTCTCAGGCCGGTTATGGTGACCTTGTGGGGGGTATCTTTTGGATTAGCAGCTCAGATGGACACAAACACCCAGAAAAAGACGATTTTTAACGGATACCCCCCC